AAAAAAAAAAAAAAAAAAAAAATATAAATATCTTCATCTTAAGATGTTCAAAATTTTCTGGAGGTCATTCAGAAGAGTATTCTTAACAAAGTCAAAGTTATAAGAGGATGGAGGTGCTTCCTTTAAAATGAATAATTAAAATGAATATATCAAGTATGAATAATTCAACTTTTTTGATTTTAGCTGATTCTTGTTATTCAATAAAAAAATTATTAACAAATATTCATTACTCTTATATAAAACGATACAACATATATTTTCGTGGATAATTACAAATCTATATGGAGCCTTGCTTTATATTAAATTGTATTGATATAATATAATTTATATTATATTGAAATGTATGCATAGATGCAGTGCTTTCTTCTGAACACTAAAAAACTACATAGATTTGAGTTGAGTAGGAGTCGTTTGCCTATGTGACGTGTTTAACATTGCGATTGATAAACCACTCACAGCTTATCACAGTGAAAAAGGCACTGATCGTCGTGAATAGCTGTGTTCAATTGCAATATTGTCAAATATATTGAACTTGACTCTCTCATTTAACATATTTGTTAGCGTATTTCTTTTTTCAATGCCTTCTTCTTTACCTGGAGTAAAAGTTTCAATGTCATCTTTCGTCGTAGGATTATTGTCTTTTTCAGCAATTACAATATTATCTAAAAAATCTCCATGTAAAATGCAAATATTGTGCAGCACACAACACGCAATAATATATTCAGGTATGAGATCCGTCCGCTTCATATACAACTTATCTTCAAGACTACGAAAACGTCCTTTCAGGTAACTGATGGCTTCTTTAATCATTACATGAGCCGAACATAAACGTTCATTAAAATTAATTTGTGCTTCTGACATATCATTATCGTTGTTATCATAAGGTACCATTACATATTTTTGCAGAGCATACCCAGCATCTCCTATTAGATGACTATCATGTGGAAAAAATTTTTCTGTGTACATAGATGGGATGTCACTTAGCCAGAATACACACATATCATTCATAGATCCCGGTTGTTCTGCATAGCAATGGATGAATTTTAAGGTAGAATCACATACAGCCTATAACAGATATAAAAATATTTAAACATTTATCAATCTTATAAAAGTTTTATCATAATTATTCCTTATGTTACTTATTACATTAAACGTATATAACTTACTTGCAAATGTATTGAGTAATGACCGTTTTGATTTACATAATTTTCTGCATGTTCCTTTGGTTTCTGTATACGTATGTGTGTACCATCTATAGCACCAAGTACTTTTGGAAACTTATGTTTGTATTGAACATCCGTCCATGTTTGTTGTGCTTCTTCTATATTAGGCCATTTGATAAATTTATCTGCTAAAGAATATATCGCTGCACAGACTTTTCTATGAGCACGCCAAGCAGTTGCTCGTCCAATATTAAATCGATGACAAACAGATCTATTAATGAAAAAGTGTGTGTGTGTGTGTGTGTGTGTGTGTATATATAAATATATATAAAATGAATTTAGTATTAATACTTATTTATTCAATATAATTATTTTTTATATTTATATATAATTACCTGTATGAATCAGGTGTTGCCATAGTCCATAATGTCACTAATAATTGTAAGTATGGATTAATTGGACATCGTCCAGATCCGGTTGGCTTTTCTAAGTTGGGTTTTATTAAATTTAACAAGTATGTAAATACTACACGCGATATCCTGTAAAAGTTAATCCTTAAAAGTTAATTAATTTTAAATAAAAAAAACTTCTTCATATTCAAGTAAGATTGTCATACATAAAAACAATCAGGCTAATAAATATACTTTTGAAGTATTATACATAAAGCTGTACAATATATTATTTATATTCACTTTACCGAAATTCTTTTTTGAACTCGACATCTGAAAATTCTTTCACCATGTCCACATAATTTTTAACACGAAGTTGAACTGCTTGAACTGGTGATAATTCTATTTGTTCATCTTCTTCAGAAACATTATCAATATTGTCTTCGTCCAAATTTTCCAGTGCTATTAAAGATATTGACAGTTTAGGCTATATTTCAAAACATTTTTTTTAAAGAAAATTTTTCTCAAAATATATAGTATACATAACATATACTCTCTGCTCAAAAAATACCCGGAATTTTTAAATAAAACGCAAAATTTTAAATTTTAAAATAAATTTATTTTATCCTCTTCAAAATAATCATCATTTGAAACTATACACCAATGATTAACCCATTCTTTGTAGCACTTTTAGACTTTTGAAGTACACTATTAGAAATGCTTCCTTTACATGTAAATAAAGCTCATGATTATGAATGAAATTAAAATTAATGAATGATTTAACTGAAAATTAAGTTACAGTATATACTTAAATATAATGAGGGTGTACATTAAATTTCATAAAAAAGTTTCATAAAAAATAATTAAAGGAGGATGTCTAAGAGTCAATTTCGGCCCTATCTAAATTTTGTCCAAATTCATGAAAATTTATTTCTTGAGGTCAATTATATTCAATATAAGTGATTTTAGCTTAAACAGAGCGATGATGCCATATTTATTCAAAAATTAATATTTTTCCGCTCCGTTTCTAAATTTAGATAGGCTGAAATTGGCCCTTATGGATCTTTTTCCTTTCATGTATATCATTCACAAACATGCTTTTCAGTTATAAATACATTAAATTTAATGTAATATCATAAAATTAAATTCAAATTGTATAACTTAAAAGTATATTAAATTTCATGTGAAATTTTTAAGTGTATGGCTTTTAGTTTCTTCATTGAATTTTCTTTTATGGAATCAAAACACTTTCTCTGTAACGGCAATTTGAATCTTGGAAACAAAATAAAAGTTACATGGTGTCATGTCTGATGAATACGGTGCATGGGCGATGGTATTTGTTGCATGTTTGGTCAAAAAGTCACGTACAGTGTACAAGAGACGCTTGCTTTGGAACCAATTGCGCTTGAACACTGAGGCCCAAAGCTGTGGTTAAAATGTGATGAACTGAAGCATTAGAGATGCTAAGGGTTGAAGCAATCTCTCTTTCACTCACATGACGATTTGCAAGCACAATTTTCTTTACTTTATCGACGTTTTTGTCCGTATTTGATGTCAATGGACGCCCAGAACGCGGCAAGTCTTCTATGATTTCACGACCATCTTTAAATAATCTATACCACTCATACACTTGTGATTTCGAGAGAGAAAAGTCCCCGTAGGCTTTTTGTAACATTTTTAATGCGTCGGCACAAGAAATTTCGTTAGCAACACAAAATTTCAAACACACTCTTTGCTCAATTCTTTTTTTCATTATAAAATTCGATGAACGCATCTAAGATAGATTAATATAAACAGCTGCTGTAAATGGTCGTAAATAAACTAAAGAGTAAGAATGTGATTACATGAGTGAGAAATAACGGAATGTAAAGAGAACGGAAAAGACAAATGGTGGGGGTTAACCAATCAGAACAATCTTTAAGGTAATATTAACCTTTATGGTGCAGTCTATATAGAAAGAATAAGGAATTAGGAATATCAACTTATCAGAAACCGTGTATTCCGATTTCTGATAGGTTGAAATCTTTATTTTTTATTCCTAATTCCTTCTATTGTGACTGCACCTTTAAGGTTCATTTACAACAGCAATAATCTTCTGCACAGATGCTCGATGCTTGAATGTATTGGCACCTTTATGTTTGTCTCATAGCTGGGTTTCACTAACTTCCGTTCCGTTTCCGTAAATATATTTCTCATCATGTGAAACCCAGCTATGAAACAATAACTGAATTATTTTGATTAAATGACTACTTGTCTTTTTCATTCTTTTTCCGTTCCGCTATTTCTCACTCCATGTAACCGCACTTTAGCCTGTTTTCTATTCCAAAGATATTAATCATGAAACTTTACCCCTAGGATGGAAAATGAAAAGTGAAAATTTTAATCATTGAAGTTAATGAAGAAATTTTTCACTTTTCAGGAAAAGTTTCGTGATTGATACACTAGAATTTTCTTTCTTGCTTTCAAAATATCAGATATATTTCTTTCTTTAAATTCCAAAAATGTACACTAGTTTAATCACAGAAAATAGACATTAAAGTATATCATACAAACTTGGCATTTACAGCTGCATAAATGTATGCATAAAAATAATTATGTCACAATTATGTTACACATTTGTCCTAACAAAAATGCACAAATGAAATAGCACCCTTATGATGAATTCGATCACTCGCACTACATTGCTCAGCATTAGCATTAAAGATCAGTATATTAAAAACTGTTTTATATAAAATATCTCAATGCAGTGATACAATATAATCAACTTCAACAATGAAATAATATGCATATTTTGTTAAATAATATGACAATATCACTAATAAATAGTTACTATTTAAAATATTTATATACTTTTACAATTAACTTTGCTAATTTCATACAAAGCAGCTTTTAATATGTACTGATCTAATGAAGTACAGTGACTGAATTTACTATAGTACTGCTGCTAACAATTAAAGTAATTTCGGCTATAATAGTAGACTATAACAAGTCTGATCAAGTTGCTTGAAATCTCTTTTTTATACTTAAAAAAAGATAAATATATATTCAGGTGTTGAAAAAAAAGAAAACAAATATGCTGTACAAAAAGTACAAATACCTCAAACAGAATATGATATCATGATAATTGCATTGTCAGTAAAAAGGAAATATATTTAGAAAAATATTCTAATTTAGCAAAAAGCTATTATTGAAATAATACTGTTAGAATCAAACAATTTTTCAATAGTATTTTTCTGTAAAAAACATATGTCCTGTACAATATAAACTAATAATAATATTACACAATATTATAATTTCCTATTCAACAATATAATTGTTGTATATGTTATTACATTTGTTGAATTAGAAATTGTAGTATTAATGTAATGTTACTGTTAGTTTGTATTCCATGAGATAGATTTATAATATATTACTATATTTATAATGTACTATACCATACCTGTCAGTAAATTCTGCTGCAGCTCTATTGTTTTTTTATTCTTTATCAAATCTTGCTTCAATGTAGTAATAAATCTTTGCATTTGCTTCTTTTTTAAATCCATTTTCTGATTTTTGAAACAATACTTGGATTTATTCGTTTTTTTCTGTTTGTTTACTAATGTTATCTTAATTATATTGTCAACAGTACTGGTACTAGCTGTTTTTTCTAAAGATTGAAAACAATATGTCTCAGCGTCTTCTGAATTCTTGGATTTTTTAGTTTGAGAGTGTATGACCAATGTAGGCAAACTCATAATCACTTCAGAAGCTATATTGAATACAGAAATTGGATTAAAATTTATTGAATAATCTTCTTTTGGTTTCAGAACATCTTTGTATGTAAATGGATACAGACCAGATGCATTTGAATTAATTATATTTGCAATCATAGGAGTAGTTTCTAGAGGATCTTGAAATATGGAAGGTACAGCAAGGCGTTTCAAACGAACATCATGTGCAAATGGCCTGATCATATAATCATTAGTTGTAAAATGTGCGCTACAAATCACATCAGATTTAGTGGGTTGAAAATCTACTTCCCCAATAGCTTCGAGCCACCTTTTTAAATGATCTTTTCGATGAAGAGGAAATCTGAAACATTTATAATTTACAATTTGAATATAACCTTTAAATAATATGAAACTATCAAGTATAATAACCTTATTCGACTTACCTAAACAAGTGAAATCCTTTTGAACGATTATTGTTACAGTTTTTTATTCTACACTGATTCCGCATTATTTTTTTCAATCAGGAGTTTATTTTTTTTTCTCTACTAAACTGCAATTTTCCTCCTTGCTTTGACGAGCATACTAGCTTCGATTTTTATGAAATTACGTTCAATGATGCGTTTCTGCACGAAATGGAGGAATTTGATAAAAAGCGTCGTTATGTCTCATAAATGAAGGTATTGAGGATAAAACAGATATGATGACATAAAACGAGATATTAAACTAATCGTTAAAGTTAACAATTATTTAAGTTTAAGAAATCTGTCATAATCATGAAAAACTTCACGGGAAACGTTCCTTTTTACTTGAATGCGTTCCAAAAATCGACTCTGACTGTGTTCCATAATTCAAGCTGACAGTACATGATGGTTAGCGTTCAGCAGAGGCTGTGTTCCAAAATTCACTGCCAGCGCTGTAATCTACAGTCTATATTACGTGCACTATCCATTTTCAGCACTGATAGTGAATTTTGGAATATAACCCGTGAAAGTAGCTTGCAACTGTGTATAATTTTTTAATATGATTGGTTGTTGCTTTTGGTTCCTTACAAATTTGAACATATAAACCAATCATTTTTTTGCGTAAGAAATTGTAGGGATTTTGTATAACTTTGGTAGGAATAAAGGTAATAAGTCTGTTCGCGTTGCTTGCACTTATGTGTACCGCTAGCTTAAGATATGTAATTTAACCTATATTTTGCTTAAAAATGTTATTTAGTAATTAATACGAGAAAGAATTTTTATTTTATTTTTTTAAATTAAGCGAAAATAAAAATCACCGTAAGTATCAACAGTGTAATTTGTTTTCTTTTACTTAAAAATAATTTCTGTTTAAAAATCTTACAATAAAAGTTTATTGTTTATGTACAATCGAAATTATTTTTTCAATTAAACTCAAAATCTTATAGTCTCTTGTTCTTCCACTTATTTAAGATGTTATTATTGCCTTAATCCTTATCTTCCTAAATTAATTTTAGTGAAGCCTTAAAAAAATATATGAACTTTATATGTTTATAGAATGGGACGAAGTCGAACTCCATCGCCAGGGAGACGGAGGGATCGATCTCGAGAACGAGATCGCGAGAGAGATCGACGGAGAAGACGATCGCGAGAAAGAAGACGAAGGTATTTGAAAGATTTTTTTTTTATTAATTTATTACCTTTGATTGTTATAAATATGGAACCTTTTTTTATTTATAGATCTGTAGAACGGGATAGAGTAAAGTCGAGAGACAGAGACAGAGATCGAGAACGTGAACGAGACAGGCATAGAAGATCGTACAGCAGATCCAGATCACGGGAACGTGAAAGATCCCGTGACAGATCCAAACATAGAGCAAAGCCGAAACCTTCAACAAATGAACGACCCATTATTACAGGTATCCACATGCTCTAATATGTTTATAAAAATATTTTTTTGCATTATAAATTAAAAAAATTAGTTTATTAGCTAATAACGTCTGATTTGGTTCAAATAGTTCATTCATGACTCTAGAAATTTCAAACTATTTTTCAAAGATCATCAGTTTTGACATGTCATTGTTAATAATAAAAGTTGCAACCATAAAAATTAGGAAGAGAAACGATTAGCTTTTGTATTACAGAAGCAGACCTTCAAGGCAAAACGCCTGAGGAACAAGAGATGATGAGAATAATGGGATTCTGCGATTTCGATACCACTAAAGGTAAAAAAGTAGATGGGAACGACGTGGGTGCAGTTCATGTCATTTTGAAAAGGAAATACAGACAATACATGAATAGAAAGGGTGGTTTCAATAGACCTCTGGATTTTGTTGCATAATTTATCTTTAATACAATTTTAAGTGACGAGTATGTTAAAATGACATCATAGGTTTGACAAAAATATCTAAATGAATATTACTAATTCTATGATTAATATGGTAGATTAATGCAAGTCATTATACTTTAATTCATTATACTTAATACAATATTGTAATAGAATATTTATATTTCATAAACATGTTCTTTGCATACAACTCGTGATATAACTAGATTTGTATAAAAAATCTTATGCAGAAGAAGTGCAGAATTAAACTTTATATCTAAATGAAAGAAAAATATTATTAATTTTAAGATAAGGCACTTAGTTTTAAGATTCTGACGATCTTCTTGAGCGTTTTGAAAGTGGAAATTCCGGTGATTTTGAGGACGTGTCATTTTGTCTAGATCGTTTTGAAGATGGTGTTTCAGTAGATGATTCAATAGACACGTTATTTATATCTGCATTAGATGTGTCGTTATTGCGACGAGAATTCTGTGTATCCAGCTGATAAATACAATGTGATAAAAAATTATAAAATGCCAAACTTTAAACAATACTTTTTCATATTTTTTTCTTACCATACTTATATTCAGCTTGTCCAGTGCTTCTGCTAATTGTGTGCTTTTTATACGGAAATCGCGTGTTATGCTGTGCTTTATGTAAATCTCAAGTGGAACCTAATAAATATACATATAAATAAATATACATATCGCAATTATCTCTATTTATATAAATTTATCTCCTTTAAATATATCATTTCAAGATATATTTACTGTAGAATACTGAAATCTCTTGTAAAAAATTCCTTGAGAATTCCCAGATTTTTCATATTTTCATTCAAAATTTCAGGTAAGATTAGACAATTTTTTAAAATGCAACTTTCGAATAAATTACAGTGCAAACAAACTATCGTAAATTAGTAGAAAATAAAAATTCTCTAAGATTGTATCTATCACTTTCTACAATTGAAGCTGTGAAATAAAGATTAATTACAATATAATATCAGTGAGATATTCTATTTTACATTTTACTGACAATAAGTATTAAGTATTGTCTCCTACTATTACTCTGATGTTTTTTTTTAAGTACACGAAACAGTACACGAGAATGTGTACGCTATACTTATTGTTAATCAACATTTTGCATTATCAAGAAAAATATGATTAGAAAAAAGCCATTTTCAGAAAGAAACAGAATAAATAAAATTCTAAGTTTCCCTGAGTACCGATAAAATTCTGAAATCTTTGATTTTTAAACGTAAAAAAGAAATCCTTTGAACATTCTGGATTTTCCTGATTTTTCCAAGTAGTAAACATATTTCTGTACATGGATCAATTTCTCTTTAAATATATAGTAAATACTTACACCGGTCTTCTTATCAAGCGATAAAATCTCCTTATGAAATTGTTCTATTTCACATATCACACGAGGAATAATTCGGGTTTCTTTCAAAATCTTATTTCTTTGCAAGTGTGAATCAGCTTTTGATGTTTTTGCATTTTGATTTCCCTATATAATACAAACACGTATTACTATTTTTATATGATGTAAGATAAAATCATATTTTAGACGAATACCTCAATATAAGTTATTAAATTATAAAATCCAGATTTTAATGGTTTCCCAGCTGATTGAATCACTTGAATAAATCTGAAATTATATAAAAAATTTATATTTTGTAAATTAAAATATATATGAAATTAATTAAACAGTAATTATTAAACAATTAAAAATTAATCTATTAAAATTTATAAAATATAAAGACAAACTCTTACTTCACTGATTGAAATGCTGCATTTTGTTTACTGGATTTTCCATAGAAATATTTTGTAAGATTACTAAGTAAGTTGTACACGATTTGTAAATTTTTGAACATAATATCCGTAGATGATCCTGGTTTAACTGCAACGTTAGCTATTGTATAAAGTATTTGTATAATGTGCGACAACTGTCTGCACAAACTGCGTTCTTGTGTTCGCACTTTTTCCTGATCTGTGTTTAAAGATTTTAATATTACAAGAAAATAAGTGCAAATGTTGGTAAGCAATATAAATTAAATTATACGTACATTCTTCGAGATCTGTGCCAGGCGGACAAACAATATTTTGCTCGGCTTTAAGACGCACTAACAACCAAGATACATTATCCAATTTCTCTTTTATTGAGTTATTTATTAAATTATAAAGTTTGTCTGCCGTTTCTTCGTGGATAATTTTGAATTTATTATTTTCCGGCATCTCAGTCTAAAAATAAATAATGAATATATACAAAGA